TCTTAAATGAGATAATCTTATATAGTCAATCTTTCATGTAATATGTGTCCTCCTTGGAAGAACTTTTTTAAAAGTCTCAAGATAGAAGATATAGGGTTGGGGATGTGGCTCAAGCAGAAGCGCGGTCACCTGGCTTGCGCGGGGCACTGGGTTCGAGCCTCAGCACCACATAAAAATAAAATAAAGATGTTGTGTCCACTGAAAACTAAGAAATAAATATTTAAAAAATTCTCTCTCTAAAAAAAATATACATTGTTTTACAGCAATTGAATTATTCTCAGACTTTTTCTAAAAATGCCTTTTATTTCATTTTGTACTTTAAATAACAGGATCTGAACCTTCTGCCCTGACACCGTGATTCATTAACTGCCTTGCCCTCGCCCACGAAGGGTTATGATGTCCAACATAGGTCTTCAAAGTTATCATTAGCAGTCTGGAGGAAACAAGAAAAGAATATAATAGTCTGTGTGGGTGAGTGGGGAAGGAAAAGCACAAAGAGATAGGACCAAAGCTTTCACGCTGACTTCGGTCAAGCCAGAGATTTGGCATCATGAACGGTTAATGGTCAGAGGACCACAGAAGGTAGCCTGAAAGATGTACCTGTGAGAGAGTTCCCAAATGAAGGGACTCCTGTGCTAATAGAAACCTAACCCACAGAGATGTTAGTCCAAGTAATTTACCTGTTCACAGTTGTAGCTACACCTAGCACTATTTTATTCTTATAAAAGGAACAATCTAGATGTATGCTCATTTATATATGTATATAAGTATATGGCACACACTTAAAGATCTTTCAAAGAAAGATTTCTACTAAATGCTTTTTAAAACTCAAAATTGTCTTTCTGAACGTGATGACACATGCCTATAATCCCAGCTATTTGGGAGGCTGAGGCAGGAGGATCACAAGTTCAAGGCCAGCCTGGGCAATTTAGAGAGGCCCTGTCTCAAACTAAAAAGTATTGGCAATGTTGTTGCTTCATAGTAGAGTATTTATTTGCCTAGCATGTGCTAGGCCCTGGGTTTGATTCCCCAAATACTGCAAGGTAAACAATAATAATAGTCTTTAATCCTTATAGCTCTGACTTTTCAGCACTTCTTATCTGATGTGCTTTATTTTTTGCCAAACATTATATTACAAATTCACCAGAGTAGGGCTAGAGTTGTGGCTTAGGGGTAAAGCACTCACCTAGCAAGTGTGAGGCACATGAATTTGATCCTTAGCTCCACATAAATAAATAAAGTGTCCATCTACAACTAAAAAAATATTTTTAAAAAATTCACCAGAGTGGCAGAGTTAGATAAGATAGGATTCCATACAGGTACCTTAAGCACAGTCATTGTGCTGTGGGTGACAAATAGTCATGTTCCAGATTTCTTAATTACATGTAAATTCAATGTTTAAATTGAAAATATGCCTGAAAATCTGTTAACCAGTGGAGTGTGTTTTCTTGTTTGTTTGGTTTTTGTTTTGTTTTTGGCACTGGGAATTGAACCCAGGGGTGCTTAACCACTAAGCCACAATAACCAGTTCAATTTGTATTTATTTGGAGACAGGTCTTACTGAGTTGCTTAGGGCCTCACTAAGTTGTTGAGACTGACTTTGAACTTGAGATCCTCTTGCCTGAGCCTTCCAAGCCACTGGGATTGCAGGCGTGAATAACCAGCGGATGTTGATAGAAATTGGTTTCACTACTGGTAAGACCTGTCAACAGAAGGTAGAGGAGAATGGTCAAGGGAAGTAGTATTTAGAAATCAGATACTAGCAATTATTTATACATAAATAATAAAAATGATACTCTGGAAATTTGGAAGATATAGGAAAGTCTAAGAAGGACATACAAAAACAACCAAATCTTATTGCTTGAGATAATACTGAAAAGATGGAGATGTGCTTTCTTACTTTTTTGTCCACTTATATGTGTGCTTTGACAAAAAGTTTCAATCAACAGGTTTGTTGTTTTGTTTTGGGGATATTGGGAATTGAACCTTGGGGCACTTAACAATACCCCCAGCCTCTTTTGAGACAGACTAGACTCCAACTTGCAGTCTTCCTGCCTCAGCCTCCTGAAGAGCACAGTTACTAAATATTTTACCAAAAACAAAATTTGGTTTTGATGGTGCTAGAGATTGAATCCGGGGCCTCAGTCACGCTGGGCATGTGTTCTGCCCCAGCCCAACATTTTTTGACAGCTGTATTTCCCCTGTCACTGTAGTCGGCATTCATTCAGCAAATGTAAGTACAGGAACTTGGATACAGTGTTGAGCAAAACCAGGTGTGGAACTCTCTTATCTCTGCAGAGATAGGTGTGAAAGAAATCGGGAATGAAGATAAGGTGCAGTTTTAAGAGTGGATTACAAAAAAGCCTTCTGGACTCCATATCTTCAGTTAAGTTGGAATAGGAACAGTGTAAAAGGAGGGAATGCTGGCTTCTGCTGACAGGAAGTTCTCCCAGATTAGAAACCGCAGCTACTCCATGGGGCATCAGCAGAGGCCAAAGATAACAGTAGCCAAGAGCACCAACCAGGATATGATGACCCTAAATCACAAAAGGACTTAATTGAGAAAACCTTAATCCCCAATCAAATGCCACAAGTTATATTCCTATATGTCAAATTTACTACTGGACAGTTAATTATGAGGGTAAATTGGGTGTCACAAAGCTTTCCATCATAGTTGGACTATGCTGTCCAACTAATGCAGTAGAGCAATTACTAAGGACATATTTTATTTGTTTATTTATTTATTTGGTATCAGGGATTGAACCCCAGGGTGCACTTAAACACTGAGCCACATCCCCAGCCCTTGTGAATTTTTATTTTGAAACAGGGTCTCACTAAGTTGCTTAGGGGCTTGCAAAGTTGCTGAGGCTGGCATTGAACTTGGGATCCTCCTGCCTCAGCCTCCCCAGTCACTGGGGTTACAGGCGTGCACCCCAGGGCCCAGGTCTATGGACATTATTGCAGCTTGCTCTGATTTGTCTTGTGAACATGTGCTTCTTTGTATTTCCCCAGGCCTTGATTGGGCTGCAGCCCCAAGGGCTAACAAAGCTGGTGGTGCAGTACTATTAGTTGCCTCACGGGGGCAACAAAGGATCAAGAAGGTGGTAGGATTAGCAAGTAGTGTACAGAGGAGTTGGACCCTCCTGCCTCTCCCTCTTGGAAGTCTGGCAGGACATGGCTGAAGGGTGAAAGTTCAGCTATAGTCAACAATGAATTGAGATATTTGAATATTTTTTAAAGAATGTTGGAGAAGAGACAAGTTAGAGTAAGTCAAGGATCCACAGAGTCAGTCTGGGAAGCATCTTGAGAAGGTAACATCTCAGCACAGACCTGGCCTGCATTTGTGTTGCTCTGAGGGTAGCAGCCAGCCTTGTGTGACTGCCACTGGCCACGTGTGACTAATGAGCACTTGAAAGGGAGCTAATCTGAACTGGAATGTGCTGTAAGTGAACAATACACACTGGATTTTACTTATGACACACAAAAGAAAGAGTATAACATCTCATTGATATTTTTTGTAATGATTAAAAAATCAAAGTGACAATATTTGTATATTTGGGGTTTAAATAAAATATACACTTAAATTAACATCACTAGCTTCTTTTATAAAGTGTGGCGACAAAAAAATTAGCATGATATAATGTAGCGTTCATATTTCTATTAGGCAACACTGTTTTTAAAAATATTCCATTTTTTGATGTTCTGAATGGTATTTCTTCACTAAGAAATTACTTCTGGAAGAACTCTCTGTTGGGTGTGTTTTTAGTGGATAATTTAGTTGGAATGGAAATGTATTGTGAAATTACGGAACTGAGTTGGTTGTGGTATTCTAATATACAATCTTTGAATCATGTAACAAGTAATAAGGAAATGTTCTTTCTTGTCTTACATTAAGTTTCTCTCCCGGGGTTTTAACAGGTGATAGAACCCTGTGTTCTCAGAAGTCTAGGAAATAAAAGGGTCACTGGTTATGACTGGGATCTCTAAGTGAACAGAATGTCAAGAGCCTTGTTCGAGTAAGACATTTGGGTAAAAACATCCTGCAAATGGAAGACTGTAATAGATTTTTTTTTTTTTTGCTTTCAATCCTACCTGAGATTGGAATACTGGAACCTGTTGGTATTTGATGGACTCACCACAGTGCATTGGTTCTCAGACGTGACTGTATGTTATAATCAGCTGGGGGGCCTTTACAAATCCCAGCAGCCCAGACCACACCCCAGGGCAGCTAAATCTCCGGGGTTGAAGCTCAGCCACTTGCTAGCCATGCAACCCTAGACATGATATTGAACCTTCTAAGAACTCTATTGTAGAAAATGAGTGATGAAAATAATACACCATATAGGATTGTCATGAGGTTTAAAAGAGATAACCTATGTAAACCCTTTTTATAAAAAAGGCAGGCATGGAGCAAATTTCTATAGTAATTGTTAACAGCGTTATCATTTTATATTTCTTCCTCTGGAAGGCACTCTCAGCCATGGCTCTCCATCTGAAAGTCACAAGCTTAGTGTGTTGGAGTATTGTCCTATAACCTTCCTTCTTCCGCATGCAAATTCATTTTATAAGTATTCAGGAAACATCTGCTTTACTACAAACGTCTTAAAACACACCAAAGAAGTGCGCACACCTTCTCACTTTCTGAGAGTTTTAACCTTGACGCGTCTGTGTTCTCCCAGCGGGGTCACACCTAACATGAAGGGACCATGGGACTCCAGCGCTGGAATCCTGGGTTCTACTTCCTGCTTTGTCCTTCATGGGCTGAAGAACAGGGACACCCTGTCCTCCATGGCTGTGCTTCCTCCCCTGTTAAATGCAGGGGATCCACCCACGGCTGGGGGTTACCGGTCTGCACAAAAAATGCGCACGTGAATTCGTCTGCGAAACGTCCACGCAGGCAGAAACGCCGCGCGCCCACCAGGGGGCGGTAGGTCGCGGTCAGCCACCCGCGGCGCTCGACGTCAGGGCGGACGCCCCGCCCAGTGACCGTGACCGCGGGCTGCGCGGGGGCAGCGTCCAGCCGGGGACAGCGCGCCATGGGGGAGGAGGCCTCGGGCGGCGGGGGGACGCCGCGGGAGCTGGTGCGCGAGGCCGAGATCGGCCTGCTCGAGTGCAAGGTGTGCTTTGAGAGGTTCGGCCACAGCCAGCAGCGGCGCCCGCGCAACCTGGCCTGCGGCCACGTGGTCTGCCTGGCCTGCGTGGCCGCCCTGGCACACCCGCGGACCCTGGCCCTCGAGTGCCCCTTCTGCCGGCGAGCCTGCCGCGCCTGCGACACCAGCGACTGCCTGCCGGTGCTGCACCTGCTGGAGCTCCTGGGCTCCACCCTTCACCGGTCCCCAGCCGCCCCCTGCGCCGCCCCCTGCATCCCCGGGGCCCTTAGCTGCCACCACGCCTTTGGCGGGTGGGGGACCCTGGTCAACCCCACGGGTCTGGCACTTTGTCCCAAGACGGGACGGGTCGTGGTGGTGCACGATGGCAAGAGGCGGGTCAAGATCTTTGACTCAGGGGGAGGATGTGTGCATCAATTTGGAGAGAAAGGTGACGCCGCCCAAGACATTAGGTACCCACTGGACGTCACCGTCACCAGTGACTGCCACGTGGTTGTCACCGACGCTGGCGACCGCTCCGTCAAAGTGTTTGATTTTTTTGGCCAGATCAAGCTCGTCATGGGAGGCCAGTTCTCCTTACCTTGGGGTGTGGAGACCACCCCTCAGAATGGGGTCCTGGTAACCGATGCGGAAGGAGGGTCTCTGCACCTGCTGGAAGTCGACTTCCTGGAAGGAGCCCTTCAGAGAACAGAAAGGTTGCAAGCTCATCTGAGCAGCCCCCGAGGGGTGGCAGTGTCTTGGCTCACTGGGGCTGTGGCCGTCCTAGAGCACCCGTGGGCCCTGGGACCCGGGGCCTGCAGTAGCAGGGTGAAGGTGTTTAGCTCAAGTATGCAACTGATCGGCCAGGTGGATACCTTTGGGCTGAGCCTCTTCTTTCCCTCCAGAGTTACTGCTTCAGCTGTGACCTTTGATCACCAGGGGAATGTGGTGGTGACAGATACCTCGGGTCCAGCTATCCTGTGCCTAGGAAAACCTGAAGAGTTCCCAGGATTGAAGCCCATGGTCACTGAGGGCCTTTCCCATCCTGTGGCACTGACCTTCACCAAGGAGAATTCTCTTCTTGTGCTGGACACTGCATCTCATTCTGTGAAAGTCTATAAAGCTGACTGGGGGTAATGGGGTGAGGCGGGGATCCTGGGGCCTGGAGTCAGAAGACCTTGTGTTGTCACTAGCGAATTGTTTAACCCTGGATAAGTCACTTGACTCATCCATGGAAACTGCCTGGCAGAATTACAAAAGCTGGGCCAGTTATTAAAGAATAATAATTAAATCCAGCCTTATTGAATGTATACTCCCAGTCCTAAGAAATTTGCAAATATTATTTCACTTAATTCTTAATAGCCAGTGAGGTAATTTCTACTATTAGTCCCATTTTAGAGATAAGAAAACAGACCCAGAGAGCTTAAGTGGCTTCCCCAACATCACATTTACTTACAGAAATAGTCACAATATCAACTCAATTTTAACTTGACTCCAAACCCCTTGCTCTTAAATAAGATATCAAATGTGGGAAAAATATGTGAATGAGCATTGTTGCTATGGGCATTCTGTTTACAAGTAACTAATTATTTTAGATGCACAAAGGAAAAAGATTTTAGAGAGTTGGGGAGAAAAAGGATTTTGTAGTGAGCCTCAGTTTTCACACCTTTAATGCCACATTAGATGAAGTTACTGCTGCTCTTGAGTCACTTGAATAAGAAAATCAATTGACCTGGTGGAAAGGTACACGTGACTTTTAGTAGCAGTGTCTCCTCATCTGTAGGCACTTAGAACATGCCTCTTGGTTGGCAGATAGAGGCCTGCAGAACACTACATCCTAGTGAGAGACAGAATGATACTCCTATTTCCTCTTTATGTTAATAAGGAGACAAGTCAACATAATTTGCTTGCCACTTTATAGTAGGTGGTACCTGAAGCACTTTGTGATGTGGGTTTCCTCTGTGCAATTTAAATTGGTCTCATGCGTAGCAAACACTGTGTACTCGATAACTACTTCCCTTGATTCTTTTGGAACAGTGGTAAACACATACTTTTTGAATTGAAGTTTATCCCCGACCAGGATAATGCCCTAATGTTGCAATTGAGTCCATGAATGGGTGATGTAGCTGCTTCTTTAGAATCATATGTTTTCTTTTCTTTCTTTATTTTAATTTATTTATTTATTTTAGCTAATACAAATATCCTAGAGTTTAGGGATATTGGAATAGTACTAAATAACTGGCCCTTCAAACGCAGCAGAGAAAATCATTGTCTCATGGAAAAAAAAATATTGCTCTTGAAAGGTCAGAGTTTGCTTTAAAAAATAACAGATGATTTATCCACAAAAATAGTGTCCCATTATGCAGAGTTTTAGTAGCTAAGTTGTACCTTCTAAAGTAGCCCTGAAATTATGAGTAAGATATGTTCCAAGGGATTGTGAGCTAAAAGAGAGAGCCGGGCTCCCAAGCAGGTGCGCAAAGGCCCATTTTCGCTCTTAGTGCCCAGAATACAGCATTAAATAGTGAAGTTGAGGCTCCCTGGGCCACGTTCGCCAGTGCATTCCAAACAGGGATTCCAGGGCAATTCCCTTCTCCCCACCCTCAAATGTGTCTTCCGGGTTTGTTCTTTAAAGCAAGCTGATGGAGGAGCTTGAATCATGTCACACTGAACCCCCAGAGATTCGAGACACTGGAGAGCTTTGCGATCGGCAGGAAGAGGTGATCCCCGCAGGAAGCCTGGGGAGCCGAGGTGATGAAGGAGAGTAGGGGTGATCAGACATGGAGGCAGAGAACTGGACCAGGAGGAAAGGGAGAAGGACAAGACACTGGCTCTTCAGCACATCCGCCACGACCCCCTGGTGAGTCTGGGCAGCAAAAGCAGGCGGGTTGGCTCAGCACCCCCATCTGATCCAGGTGGGCCAGTTCCTGATCTTCGTTCTTGATCCCGATTTGGACCTGGCTCTGCCGCCCGCTCTTAGCTTCTCCACCTTTCCCCTGATTCTGAAGACCTCAGTTCAGAGTCATAACACCTGCCCTCCAGCAAGCCTAGCTCTGGGTCCCGGCACCCAAACCATCAGCATCCACTAGGCCCTGATCCAGACCTCTCCAGGCCCCTGTTAAAAAGGTCGCACCCAAAGTGAGTTGTACTCCCTTTGAGAAAGAAGCATCATCCCATGCTTCTCAGGAAACTGAGGAAGCCTCTGATGATAGAAAATGTTTAGAAATCTTTAAACTTGCCTCGGAAAGAAGAGAGAGATACTGGCGGTCAGTGTTCACTAATAGTGGGGTGCAATGGAGAATCCAAAGAAGAAGTGGATTCACTGTGTAAAAGTGTGATTGGGAGGCTGACAAAAGTCCCCATGGCCACTGGACTGGACGGTCACATCTGCGGTGCCCACAGGTCCTGATGATGAGCTGGCCCTCAGCATACACCATCCACAGCAAGATCCCCTATAGCAAGAGTGGATGAGACAGGGGAGCACACCTGAGCCAAGAACAGCCAACCCCTCAATGGCGCCCCAGCAAATGTTTTCTTTCAACCAGGAAACTGGCTACAAATCGGCCTGGGATGAACAAAGAGATCCAATTCAATTCTTCTTCTTCTTTTTTTTTTTTTTTTTTTGTACTAGTGATTGAACCCAGGGGCACTTAACCACCGAGCCACATTCCCAGCCCTTTTCATTTTTATTTTTTTATTTTGAGACAGGGTCTTGCTAAGTTACATAGGGCCTCACTAAGTTGCTGAGGCTGGCCTTGAACTTGCAATCCTCCTGCCTCAGCCTCCTGAGTTGCTGTGTTTGCTTTCCCAGACTCACCAGGTGGTACGTGGTGGTGCTCATTACAGCACCCAGCCCAATTCAATTTTTATCCTTGAAATTTTGAATTGAGGGGCTGGAGATGTGGCTCAAGCGGTAGCACGCTCGCCTGGCATGCGTGCGGCCCGGGTTCGATCCTCAGCACCACATAC